TGCTGAATGTGTACACCCTATTTCCATAAATATTCATATTAAATCATACAGGGTAATATTAAATATGTTTTTTTGTATCCAAGATAAAGATTCAAGGTGTGGTGAATACCTTCCCAACAGATACCTGAAAAACAGAGAATACAGACACTCACTTACCAACCGGGTTCCGCTCCTACGAATTGGTCGGTAAGTGAGGAGTTAAGGGATTCCCTGCTCTGGTGCGTTTGGCTATGTTCGGGGAAACTTCCCCAAACATAGACGAACGCACCAGAGCAGGGAACCCGTCTAATCTATGTTCGGGGAAATTTCTTTCCGCATTCCTTAGCTGGCAGGACCCATGGTCGCAGTGGTCCAGAGGGCGGCCGGGCTCCCTGGAGTGATGGGCCCAGTCGCAGCTGGGACCCCTGCGACTGCGGTAGTTCCACCACTGCCTAGTTATATTCCACCCCTAAATGCAAAGTAATATAATTACTGACCTTTACTCCATCAGCAATGTTTTATATTACAGGGTTAAAACTAAAGGGCTACTTCACCCAGACCACGTCATTAAGCTGAAGTGCTCCTTTAAGAACTTTGATTTTCAAAAGACTTTACATTTTGCAATATTACGCAATATCATGCTTCTTATCTCAAGTATTGGATTCAATATATGGATAAATATATTAAAAAAAATTAAAAGTCATTGAGTTCCTTTAATTGATATCTATAACTGGTGCTCTATGACAGCTGCAATAAATGCAAGAATGTAAAATGTGAGTATTTCTATTATTTTTAAAGTTAGTTAATTTTTTTTAATGCATTATTTTTATTATTTTTAAAGGTAGTTAATTTTTTTTAATGCATTATGTATTGTTTATTTAAGTACAGAGAGCAATAAACAATGTATCAAAATTATCACTACATTATCTTTTAAATGCAGCAAAAATTTAGTTTATCCACATGGGGGAAGTATAACCCTTTCAATGGCAACAAATCAGCTTGTGATTTTATGAAGGCCACTAGTTTTATATACAATGACTTCATAGTAATGATTACATGTCATGCATTTATCCAAATAGATTTTAATCACTTCATTTGCAATATCTTAAGCTCTATCAGGCAAAATGGTCATATAAAGGAACACAAATATACAGAGAATGTCATGACCAGAGGCCTAACTACAAACCATGGGGCACCGGTGTGAAAATTGCCCTGGCCCCCCCCATAGGTCTACCCCCACCTCATACATCGACTCCCCCCCCATATGTCCACCCCCTCCCCACATACACATGCAGACAAACAGATACACATGCAGACATACATACAGACACACACACACATATATATACACACAGAGTAACATACATACAGACCCACATACACTAAAACACACACATGCAAGATGTTTAAGTCACTTTCCTGTTTCCTAACTTTTAGATGCAGGAGTGTGACTTTCCCTGGGGTTCAGTGGTGGCAGATTAGGCTGATGGGAGGCAGAGTTCCCACTCTGACTCCCTCTCCTTTCTCCTGCGTGGCTGTCACTTCCTCCCAGCGACTGACGTCATCACAGGGACCCAGTCGAGCTGTTAAAGCGCCGCAGCGGTGACCGGTGCCCCCTGGATATTCATGGTCATTGGGGGGCCCTAACAGCATGGGCCACCCGATGAACACCTTCAACGTGGCCCCGGTGGTTAGACTGCACGGGCCAGGGCCGCAGCACATGGCAGCGGGCACCCAGTCGCATTGGTCCACAGTGCGGTCGGGTCCCCTGGAGTGACGGGCCTGGTCGCAACTGCGATAGTTACGCCAGTGGTCCCTACCCATCCAGCACACATATACACTGGATACATAAGATATATGGATGGGTAGGGTCATCCTGTATAATATAAATCCTACTTACATGGACAGGGAAATGTAAGAGGAAAACAATCCCTATGCCCATGTACATTTAGGAGTATTAAAAAGGGGGAAATATGGTATTTTTTTCCTTTCTTACGCCCCATGGTAATGGAGTTTGGCCCATAGAAATAGTATGCATAGGGTGTCCTGTTAGTTCTCACATTAAAATGACAACGCTAAATATTATAACCACTGCAGCTAGAGGCGTAACTAGAAACCATGGGGCCCGGTGTGAAAACTGCCATGGGGCCCCCCCACATATGTCTACTCCCCTGCCACATTCCCCACCCATACGTTGCCCCCCCCACACATGCTGACAAACAGATACACATGCAGACACACAGACAAACACACATACAAACACAACACACACACTCAGAAACATACAGACACACATACAAACAAACACACATATATACAAAATGTTTCAGTCACCCTCTTGTTTCCTACATTTTAGGTGCAGGAGGGTGACTTTCCCTGGGGTCCAGTGGTGGCTCAGCCTGATGGGAGTCAGTGTTTCCACTCTGACCTCCTCCACTTACTCCTGCGCGGCTCCCGGTGTAAGCTGGGAGGAGTGACCGGGGCAGTCACTTCCTCCCAGCCTTTGATGTCATCTGAGGGGGACCGGTCGTGCTGTTAAAGCACAACAGCGCTGACCGGCCCCCTTGAAATTAATTTCCATAGGGTGGCCTTAAGAGCAAGGGCCACCCGATGGGCCCCTTCAATGCGGCCCCGGCGGAAATACCGCGTGGGCCGAAACACATGGAGGCGGGCACCGCGGTTATTCCACCACTGACTGCAGCTCATTTAACTTAAAGATACACTGCAGACCTTTAAATTACATCAGCTTGCTGAAGTGCTTTATGCGTGAAGAGTGTGTTCTCTTTTTTTCAGTTTACAAAAAGTGCAGATATCAAATTGGCATGTTTATAAAGTAATCTGGTTACAGCTACCTAGCTGTGAATCAAACAGGGCCGCCATCAGGGCATGACAACCGCAACGGTTGTCATGGGCCCGGCGGTCCTGGGGGGCCCGGACTGCTAAGGTCGTCCGGGCCCCACATTCAGTGGGTACATACCTGCGACCCCGTTATGTACCCACAGGGCCAGCCTCTTCTCCTGGGGGCCCAGCAGCCGGTCACCTCAGGGCCCCCAGAGGCTGGCCCTGACAGCCGGCCGGCGCGCGAGGGAGCACTCTCCTCTGAGTGCTTCCTCTTCAGCTCCCTCGCGCACCGTACTGATGCCGGAGCCGGAAGATGACGTCATCTTCCGG